ATACTTGTCTTGAAAAATTAAGCATATATATGCGGGGGGTGTTTTAGTCTGTTTCTTTAAGGCTCATCATTTATTTCTTTACCACCTTCTAAATACAGGCTGTACATCCTATGAACCTCTTAGTAAAGGTTTTTAAAATGTGAGACACAAGGAAGACCCATCTAAGATGAAAATTACTAAGGCTACAACTTCATCTGTACAGGATTCTGGGAACGGATTCAGGAGGGATTGTGTACTCATGGAAACGCACCAGGTGCATTTAGAAGTTCCCATAGACTCCACAGAGATCCCTACTAGGGCCCAAAGCTACCCATACAGATCCAAGTTTTCACTACAGAGGACTTGAGATCTGTGACACTGTGGGCTATTCACAAAGGGAAGTACTGTCCACAGGCACACAGTATTGGAATCACATTTGTCAAGACATATTCTCCAACTGCCATGATGCCTAGATTAGCGATAAGCTGCCTTCCCTCCATCGGGCTCTATAAAGCAGCCCATAAAATTGAAATAAATTAAACAGAAGTTTCCGGGATCAAAAAAGCACTCTTTTATCCCACCTAAATCACAGCTCGAAACTGTAGTTTATGATAATAGATTCTATACTGGAAACAATAGACCATTGTGTAAGTTTTAATTAGTTTGAAAATATAGGTGTGATGTTTTATAGGATGAAACCACTGCCCCTGTATTTAATTAAATGATCCCTATAAAAGTAGGGTTTCTAGCCCAGGGCACGATTTACAGTGGGCCGAATTGAGAACTGCATTAGCATTTTACACTGGGTCATTTGAACATGTTGTAGCACTAGAGGGGATGGTGATGTGCTGATCCACTGAAGAGCTAACATCTATAAAGAGCTGTGTGTTTTCTAAGCTGAAGACAGGATGGTTTAAAATACCCCGAACTGCTTACAATGAAGTCATACAGAATATTGGGCCCCGGGGTGTTGAAAGGTGTCACTGCCTTAGAGTAGCAACCAGTGATATTTCAGGGGGACCGTGAACCTCTTTCTGGGCCATTGGACCAGCAACTCTCCCTGCAGGTGCCGTCTCAGAGCAGCCTGGCCACCTCAGCTAAGTCAAATTCCTCCTCCTGCATTCTTCTGACCATTTCTTAAGTGGCACCCCCCCGGGAACACCTGCCAAGCGTTTCCTGCAAAGAGCAGTGGCCCCAGGAAGGAACCAGACCCTCTGCTACTGTCTTGTCCCAGGAGTGCTCACACCAGGCCCCTCCTGAAGACTCCTTAGTGTCAGGTTCCATTTGCAAAAGTGTAGCTTTGAGACTCACTGATTAGATTCACACCATAATTGCACCTCCGTCCTGGGGGGATGAGCCATAGGTGAATAACTTAGACATTTAATTTATAATACAAAGTTTGCAATCAGCATTTCTTGTTCCCAAACATTCCATTTACTTGGTTTTAGAGCGGCATAAACGGTTTTAAAGGCAATCTGCTCAATTGGGCGAGTTAATGATATTTAATTTGACCGGGGCCAAACGTCACCGTTCGCACCCCCATCTCTAACCGCAGCCATCATCAGCGCCGCCGCCGTTCCGTGTAATGTAGATGTGATGCTAATCCGGAGAATAAAGGCTGTCATTCTCGGTTGACTGTGGCACGCACTGGAGCCATCACCTTGCCGAGTCTCGCGGTGATGGGATTTCCAGGATGACAGTGTAATAAGTGTTATGTGCACAAGGTAATTCAAAACAAATTTGGCTGCAAAAATGGATCGTCTAGGGTAGTAAACACCCGCCTCGTCACGTCGTCTTAAGAGAATGTAATGATCCCTAAAATACCTTGTCAAGAATCCTGCCTGGCAGGGGTCAAGTCCTGTAAAATTTATCTGTTGCGAGCCCCACTCCTCATCCCCGAGAATCCCAAGTCTAGGTCAGAAATATTCACATCTATGGGAAGCCCAGGAACATAGGAGGACGAAGCCTCACAGCACTTGCGAGACTCTTCACCCCCCCTGAACAGGCTCAAGTGTGCGGCTTTCTTTTTGGAAGGTACAGGCACTCCCTTAGCACTGAGAATGCATTTTTATTATTGCCACATTAGGCAATCTGAGTCAATCATCTATTTTGCATCTGAGGAAGCAGTAAAATTGCGCTGAGCTCTTTAAGAAAGGAGCACCTCTGAATGATGGAAAACTAACACTAGACTGCTAGAATTATTCCCTAGGGGTTCTGACAGTCTTGCCCTTCCAGTGGACCCAGCCATAAGCAATGGTGACATTCTGCCCCAATAATGATGCCAAAAGGTCCACGAAAGCACATTTTTAGGTCTCCCCAAAGTTCCAGGTCACCCTCTGGGGCTGCAACGGGTATTCTTCCACATCCAGGTGCAGACATGCCCCCGGGTCCTTGCCCCCATGTCTTTAAACACCACCCAAGGGCAGACAGGAGGAGCCTTCAGTGACTGGGTAAACAGACACCCGGTCTCCTCCTGATGCCATTTAAATAGCCCCTCAGTGTGGTAGCACAGGGTTATGAAGTTCACTTAATAAACTCTAGTTGCCAAAGTTAGAGGCACTGGTTCAATTGGCTCATAATGAGAAAAGCCGTCTCCCTAGAGTAGAGTATTTTTCAATTGGCCCTAAAGACATACTCATGCCTCATCTTACACTGTCCCTCTGTGATGGTGTTTTGGACTGTGGGTCGTTCGAATCCCAGTCACGTGGCTTGAAACGTGTGCACAGCCGGGTCCAGTGTGATGAGTGTGTAAGACAGAAGCTTCAAGCGCACACAGCGGTATTGCCAGAGCCCCGAATCTCAGAGTATCAGCATGGCCTCTGACGCTGTTCCCAAGGTGCTGCACAAGTCTAAGGAACACATGCAGACCTATAGTCCAGAGAGAGGCCACCCCATTCCAATGTAACCACTGGAAAAAACCTCAAGCTCCCTAGCAGCTGCCCTTCTCCTCTCAGCCCATTACTTTACAAGCTCATATCTAAGTCCATCATTAGGCAGAAGGTGACTCTCTTGGCAAAAAGCACGGAGGGAAGGTTGTGTGCAGACCATGCAGCTGACCGGCACCTGTCAGAATCAGGCGGGTCAGAGGGCGACTCCCAGGTCCAACTGCCCTCCTGTATCTTAGCTCTGGCTTTCTTGAGAACGGGAAGTTGAGGAAGATAATCTCAGATCTGGGCAAAAGGCCGGGTGGTCCTGTGTAAATAGGGAATGGACAGGTTCTACACTCAGAAATCTTAATGTCCAACGTGACCACAAGTAAACACCTTGGGTAGGAGGGTGGTGCATTGGACACATCTCCTACTTGTGCCATTAACTTGCAACTGCTTTTAGAATATTGTATTCTAATTCTGAAATCCAAAACATTCGAGTCATAGTGCTCGAAAAGCCTGGGATCTGAGAGCAGTTTGGAGGTTGGGTCACTTTCATGGGGGACGCTCCGCCAGGGAAGGGTTAAGCAACTACTGCAAAATCCAGAAAAATACTCCAAACCCTTATGCATTTCTGGTCCTGGCATCTTGATAAAGGATACTCAGGTTGTACTTGACTCTTACCATCACACATCAGTGGCAGAATCAAGCTGGCCGCTCCAGTCCTGCCCAGTTTTTAAGTGGGATGGTGCAGCCCCTGCTTTATTTACCGGGACTGTTGACTCCTAGATTTGTCCTTCTGCATAAATAGACTGGGTCCCAGCCATTCCCAACCTCCATGGGCGTAATTCATTCCGGGCAACAAATCAGACATCTCTTCCTCCACTCAGTAGTTTTTACAAAGCGCCCCAGGAGTTGTTCCATAGTGTCAGAGCAAAAGGGTTTAGAAGACGCAGCAGCCCCCAACCCGTGCCCGCCCCAGAGCTGACAGCGACAAGCCCAGGGGGCCATCGTCCTTTGGCCATTCGTAAAGAATGAGCTGTTAACCTAAGAGTCCAACTCAGGAAAGCCCATGAAAAGCAGTAGAACAAGTCAGCATCCTTCTCCAGAGGGTCTCAGGTACCTGTGAGCTGCCATTTGTACACACCTCATCCTTAATTTTACACAAAGCCAATCAGCTGACTGAAGAAAAATATTTTGGGCCTCATGTTTCCCATAATCCAATCATAAGGGGTCACCAGATTACCTGCACAAAATGTTACAACCAGAACACGAGTCCTTGGTTTTATGGGGAAGAGAGAGGAGGAATTAAAGAGGGGGACTTTGTGGTGCTTGGAATGACTTCATTTCTAGAAATAAAATTCTGCTTTCATCTTGCATGAGCTGCTCTACGGGTACCACTGCGTCGACTCCGTATTGATTGTAGCTTGGGGAACATCCTGAGCGCATCTGGCCCACCTTGCCCTAGTCACTTACTGGGGAGAAGGAGGTGAATGCTAGGTACTACCAGTCTCGTGGGACAGTGAGAAGTGTTGAGGCTCATCAGTAGACAGTAGGCGCTCAGTAAGTACAGGCACTGGGCCTCAGCATTGGTGAAGGTGGGAGACAAAGCTACACCTCCTGCCGTGGTGCATGTGTGGCTCCCCTGCGTGGTCAGTTGCTGTGCCCACTGATGGCCGGTGCTGTCCTTCATTCAATATTTTCAGGGGGCTTTTGAAGGAAAGCGAAGGACTGAAAGGTACAGAGCAGTCACGTTCTTCAGAGGAAGCTCTCATCCCCCAACACAACTAGACACATGCCCGGCGCCGGAGCCTTGCGTCGTAATTAATTTCTAGTTAGCTATTATTGCCTGATAAAGTCTGGGAGCCTCGGGCTGGTCTTTTCTTTGCCAGGCAAGATTAGCAAGCGATGAAATTGCATTAAGAGCCATTCCAGGGGGAAGCCAGGACTCCCCTGCTGTGAGATTTATTATTTAGTGCCAGATCTGTAGACCTCTGCTGTCACCCCTTCCCACCATTCTTTGGGAGTGCTCTGACCCCTACCACGTGGCCCTCCTGTTGGGCTACTCACACCCAAAAGCACTCGGGCCAGGGACTCGTCTTTCCGGTTTCTGCTTGATTCTAACCCTGCTCCACCCTAAACCTTTCTCAACAGGTCAACGGCAAAGATTTATCCAGAGCAACTCATGACCAGGCGGTGGAGGCCTTTAAGACAGCCAAAGAGCCCATCGTGGTCCAGGTATTGAGAAGGACGCCCCGGACCAAGATGTTCACTCCTCCAGCAGAGGCCCAGCTGGTGGACGCTGGCACGCAGACCGACATCACCTTCGAGCACATCATGGCCTTGACGAAGATGTCCTCGCCCAGCCCACCCGGCCTGGACCCCTACCTTCTGCCCGAGGAGTAAGTAACCCTACTGTGACCAACTTGTCCCATAAAGAAAGGGAAGGTGAGAATGCTCCTCCTGGGTGCTCACATGTAACTATCGTCTATAGAGGCCGTAAATCGAATCCTGCTCAAAACCGATTTTATTATAAGCCCGGAGTGGAGTTGTTCAAATTACATTCCAAGAATGACATTACTTACCAAGGTTGTAAAAGTTGTTTTGGGAGTAAAACAATCACCGCACATGGTAATTTGAAGATTTTGTAGTCGCTACTGCGGGGAACGTTCAGTAGACGAGTCCTGGGGTGATGCCGTCTGCACCCGTGGACCCCCTCAGGCAGCCGGGACTCTCCCCTCAGTGAGCAGAGTTCAGAACCTTAGCATCAGATAAACCCGATGCTCAGACTAGTGCCTGACCCTGGACCTCATCTTGCCTGTACTGACAGGGGGGAGGAAAACAGTGTCAATCCCTAACTAACCAGGGGAGGCCCTGGCGTAGGGGCCGCTCAGGAAAGGGTGGCAGTAATCGTGCCCGCAGGAAGGACGTCAAACATTCAGGAAAAGGTGAGGAGCAAGAAATTCCCTCAGTCCCACCCGTGACTGTGAAGGGAGCAGCCCCAGCTCAGTCCTCCCTGACTCAACAACAGCTTGGTGTGTTTTTTTGAGAGGTCTGTTCTCCTCTGCGGGAAAACCTGGGTACGTCCTGGTGGGCATCTGCAGCACCACCAAAGTACCTTCCCCTGCAGCTGATAGCACGAGACAGGGCCTCACCTGCCACTTCACGTGCAGAGAACGGTCACCTCCTTCCTTTCCCACCACAGTCCCTGCTACACAGGCAGGGCCAGTGAGCCCCAGCCCATTGTGGACATTACAGAGCACAATGGTGCCACTCCCGACTCCTGCCACAGGGACGGGCGGGCGAGCCTTTTAGAAGCCAAACCCCTAATTTCCTCTGAAGCCTAGTTAACAAGACAGGAATTATCCCCCGGGGCGACTTGAGAAATGTCGGAAGAGTCCAGAGGTCAGGCCTCCTCGGTTCTGGCTGGGAGGCAGGAGCATGCATGGGGAACAAGCAGGGAGCGGTTAAGTTGGTCAGAAAGCCCAGCCCCTCCAGCAGCGTCCCTGGGACCTAAAAGCCTCTTAAGTGCAGGCCATGTATTTGTCTGATGGGTCCAGGACTCTGAAAGGCAGCCCTTATTGCAATGACCACTCAAGCCTGAGCTGTTATTTCCAAGTTAAGTGCCACAGCCCACTGAAGGCTCTGACCTCTGAGGAGGTGAGGGCTGGGGTCACCAGCCAAGGCTTTCCGGAGCCACTGACCGAGCACGTTATAATTCCCACTGCCTTCACCCTAGAGGTTCCATTAAAGATGTTTCCAGAAGGGGGTGGGCTCTGTGTCACAGGTGTTGTCCTAGAGAAATACGAGTGTGGGTCTGCAGGTGCACACACGGCCCAGAGCTGTGTGGTCAAGTGCATTTCTGGGTAAGATTTGAAAAGACAGTGTCCTAGGTGACAGTGGAACAGCTTCAGTCGGGTCCTGGCACGCATCTTGAAATGCTGCCCAAGTCCAGCCTATTTCTCCCCAGAGATAACAAACCCAGCCCCTGCCCAGAGGCCAGGGTAGAGCTCAGTTACCTTGAACCCCATGATGTGGGCTGGGGCATGAGTCCAGAAGCCAAGCCCACCCTACTTGAGCTTTGTATCTCAACTTCTTCCAGAAAGTGGACAGTGAGGAGAGTGGTGGAAGGGCCTCACCCTGGAACCTGGCCTTACCCATCTCTCGTCTCCTTGCAGGCACCCCTCGGCCCACGAGTACTACGATCCCAATGACTACATGGGGGACATGCACCAGGACATGGACAGGGAGGAGCTGGAGCTGGAGGTACGGAGCCCTTGTGTCAAGCACAGAATGCTGCCAAGGGAAACTGTCAGAAGTCCCTTCCGTCATGAAGGGCACTTCTCTGCCCCTTCATATCAGGACAGAGCTCAGCAAGTCCTCAACCTGGGCTCCCTGGCATCTGCACACTCCTCCCCACTAGTAAGCCCTCACCTCTATGTCATGGCCACCTGTCTCTCCAAGTGAGGGCTCAACAGCAGGGGAAAAGATGCTGTTCCACTCTTCTTGTGCTCCAAGCTTGCTAACGAGAATCTTGAAGAAATTAAGCAAAGGCCAGAGAGGACTCTGGGTGGGGTTTTCTGGTGTTTGCTAAGGAAAAAAAGGACACCCAATTCCAGGGCGTGGTCAGCTGTGTCATATTTCAGTGTGTTTTCCCAGTCCACAAGTGTTTCTGGGAAGGTCATAGGCACCTTTTAAAGAGATCCCTGATGTTGACAGGGGAGCCGTTGGCCCCAAGAGAAGGTCGACCAGGGAAATCCCGCTGACACTGATCCAGTCTGAGGCCCAACCCCTGTGGGACCTGGGCCGCCCACTGAGCTCAAGGAGGTGTTTAGCCGCAGCAGGTTCCCAGCCAGTGACAGGCATCACTGAAGAGTTTTTAAAAAGCCTGTATTCCTCAAGCATCCCTTTCACGGCACCCAGACTTCTCCTTTCAAATTAGAGGATAAGATCAGTAACGATGGGCAGTCGCAACTCGAGCCAGCTGCTGTCAACAAGCCAGGTGACACTCTATTTGAGAATTTCACACCATGCGTCTGGTCTACCCAGGAAAGGTAGCTGTGCTGTTTTTCTAAAGATAATAAGGATTCTGCCCCTGGCTTGCAGTGTCCTATCGGACCAGAAGCAGCTGAGGACTCCTCAACACGTGTCCTTTAAGTTGTTGACAAACCTTCTTCCCAAAGAGAGTTCCCACCATCAAATCAATTTGGGAAATGCCAGGTTGGACAAAACAAGATTTTTTTTTTTTTTTATGTGGTGCCAAGGATCGAACCTAGGGCCACAAGCACGCTACCGCTTGAGCCACATCCCCAGCCCCAAGACAGATTTTTAAGCGGAGTCCAGAACTCCTGACTCTTAAAATTATATGGGAACCTCCCTGGGGAAGAGAGGTGGACACAGTAGGCAGATTTCCCAAACCCCTCTCACCCAGTTAACATGCCTGTTTACATTTCCTCATTCTGTCTCTGGAACACTCTTGGAAGGGCTGATGATCTTGCCTTTATTTACGTACATAATGAGTGTCAGGGATTGAATCCAGATGTCCTTAACCATTGGGCCACCTCTCCAGCCATTGCCGAGACCGTCTTTGAACTCATGATCCTCAGCTGCTGGGATTACAGGTGTGCACCACCACACCCAGCTGACTCTGCTTTTTGATGATCATCCTAACTGACAAAACCGAGCTTCTCAAAGCTCTCAAATACCTCAGGAGCTAGATTTACAGACTTTCAACATCGAGTGCCTAAGCTTGCCTTTATTTTCACTTTCTCATACCTGTGAGGCTGTCATGGAAGCCAGCTGTCCCAGGACAAGTCCCATCCAGAAGCGATTGCACATGGTTTCACTGTTCCTCGAGTCCCCACGGTATCTGCCTTACAGGTTTTTAAGTTGGTGTCACCCAGAACTGTTATCTAAACCAAGGTAGTTCCTATACCACTGTCTCAAGCACAAGTCAGCATCAACCACCATAAATAAAAAGTTTATACAGTGTTCAAGCCTGGTACTAAGCGCTGGTGCCTACCAGGGGCCTGCAACCCAGGCCACCACGTGCCGCTCTTCCGTTTCTCTGCGGGGGCTAGCTGGTGTGAAAGAAGAGTTCACAGAGTCAGCCTAAGGAAGTAGTCTCTCCGATGTGAACCCCGAGAGCCTCTGGAGTTCGATGGGAATCTGTCCCCTAGGACCTGGCCACCCTGGGCACACTGAGGTCAGAGGACCCCTGGCTGACCCTCCATGCCCTCCTCGTCTCCAGCGTTACTCAGGGGGCCTTAGGGATGCATTTTCCCCCTGCAGGACCAATGTCATCCAAACTGCCCCGTGGCAGAGCCAGTTCACCATGGCCTAGAAGGGACCGAGCCCCTCGTGGACCTGAGAAGGCTCTTCTCATGAATAGAAGCAGGACTCAGAATCCAAGGGTTCAGAAAACTCATGAGGCATTTTAAGTTTTAGACCTTTGATACCCCGAGACTTTATATCTGTTCTTGACAGCAAGTCCACTGTTTGGCCTTTAGAAACGAAGCAGCAGGAAGTCACCACCCGAGTGCCCTTGAGGGGCTCATCAGCCATGAGGACCACTCACATTAGCTTTTAACCTCCTAGCATCTGGACATCACTGGCTCCTGGGCACGATGCTTACCACTGAGCAGCACCTACCCCCACCTCTGTCTGTCATCCGTGGCAACCTGCGGTGGATTATTATAAATGACGCCTCCGAGTCTTGGCCTCTTTCCTCCCGTCTTGCCATACGCCCAGCTGTGAGGTCACCTACCAGGTCATGGGGTAGCTAGAACATAGTCCACCAGGGCCAAGCAGACGCCAGCCACTTACATCTCCAAAAGCATGAGCTAAATCCACCTCCTTTCTGTAGAAAATATCTAGCTTCCAGTATTTTGTTACAGTAACACAGAGTCTCCCTGCCGCCACCCACCCCCAGGGCATCTCCATCAGAATCCCCAGGGCACCTGCAAGGCCCTCCACAGATGTCATCTGGCCTGTTTAAGAAAAGTGATACCTCACCCCTCTGCCAAGACCCCAGGTTCTTCCAGTGGACCCCGTTTTCAGGGTCACTATTACCAACCTGCCATCCCTACTTCTCACAGGATTTCTTAGCTGCCTTCCGTCCCAGCTGCTGGATTTCAGAAGAATCAGGCCTATTTTCGGGGGGAGGGGGCAGCTCAGCAAAATATCTCAGACTTTTGAAAAAGCCAGCGGGTCCACAGGGGCCAGATGAGGAGAATACGTGCGTGGGGTGGGGTGTTATCAAAGCCAGTGTGCGGAGAAAAACAGATGTTCTTGCCTCTAAAGCCCACAAAGTGATCCTGTTTAGGTACGTGTGAGATCCCTGTCATGGTGACACTGCTCAGAGTTGACAGGATTTTTCCCAAGTACACCCCAGGGCTCAGCCGCCAAATAATTACCCATAAATTTCCAGGTACTGAACACCTGGTCCAGGTCTTCTTGTCGGCAATTAAGAAGGAAAATAGATGTCTGAGGAAGGCTTTCCTGAATCTACTGTTTTAATTTCCCCAGTGACCCTGCAGCAGCGTCCTGTACGGGCTGGGAGCTGCTGTCACCTGTGGTAGCGCCTTCATTTCTGATGATGTCATTGTGAGACCTGTCTAGAAAGGGAAGCTACAGTTTCCACAGGGGGCTAAGGAGGTCTCCAATTCCAGTGTCCTAGAGTGACAGGAGTAGATCAGATGGGAATCGGGTGGTCCTGGAAGCACTTCAGCCAATCTGGAAATTTCCCCTGAGGGAAACCACCTGGTCTACCCTGAGCACGTCCATCTACCACCTCTGTCTCTGCCTGCAGAATCAGGATCTTCCCCTTCCTGCTCTGCCCCCTGCAAAACAGGCCCTTCATGCACGGCTCCCCCACACAGAATCGGATGCCCTCACTGGAGTACATGCGCCCCCAGAGCTTGGCCTTTCCATTCCTCCTGCCCAGTGTCTGGCATGGACAGTTAAATATCTGAAGGAAGACGTCAATGCTGTCACCCATCTCCCAGGGAAACAGCCATGTCGCTAGACCCGTTCCTACATCCCACAGGGCGCCGTCCACAGACAGACACGCTGGGAACGCGCACACCATTCCTGGACCCATAAGGTCAAGGGCTGCATGCAATATTAACATCAGCATTTGGTGTCCCCTAGGATTACAGTGACCAGAGCTAAAACAGAGCAGTTGAATCACCCTGGGGCGACGCCACCTCCATCCCCTAATTGGAATATGGTGTCGGTTTTATCTGAAACAGGCTCAGCTCTTTATCCAACAGTCCATCTAGCCCAGGGAGGAACAGGACATGGGAGGGGGTGGTGATCCAGATCACACTTGATACATAATGCATACCACTTTGATTAATGGGCATCTCTGAAATCTTATCACGGACATATAAGTATTGATAACCTCAGCTTTCACCGAGCCACTCCGAGGCAGAAACAAAGGTGGAGAAATTACAAGCCACCCAAGCAGTTGGGGAAGTTTAACATGAGTCCCCAAATGCAGTTTCTCATTTTGAAACCGTGGAATGGCGGAGGTCGTTAGGCGGCTTGCCCAGTGAACTCTCACTGCTCCAGAACAAGCTCGAGGAACACTCCAACCCAGAAAGCCCCCTCTGTGGCCCCCATCTAGATGAAGCGCAGCCTCTGCTACTCAGGGAGGTTTGCTAGGCCACTAGTGATAGGAAAATGGGTTACTCCAGAGGATTGGGAAGGAGCTGGCCCTCTTGGTCAGCTGCGGCCCTTCAACCCACACTTAAAAATCTTCTTCCTCCCATTGGTAACCGTACTATCTAATGCAGCTAAATTATGAGAAGTTAATAGGGTTTCATTTAATGAGAGTTTGCCCTGTTGCGAGAGCTTAATTAGGAAGTCGTTGGGTCAACATATCAATGATCAGGAGATAAACTCAAGGTGTCCTGTGGAGGGGCACTGAACTCCGCCCTCCCTGCTCCCACGATGCTAACCCCAGGCGAGCACACCTGCGCCCGTTATTAAACAGCCACCTGCTGAGGGCCTCACCTCTGACTCTTCACTTTGTAGCAAGGAAGCAGAGGCTCATGGGGGATAACAAGCTGGTGAGGAAGCTTCTAGAAAGAGGTGATTGGGCTTTGCAGACCAGTCTGCCCGTCCTCACCGTCCTGATCCCTCACCATGTTGAACTCTATAAATCATCCAGAGACCGCTAACAGCCAATTGGATCACGGCAGTCCTCACTTGCCACCTTGGGCCGGGTCCCCAGGACGCTGGAATAAGATCTGCATTCCTCATTCTAGCCTGCAGAGCCTCCTCTGTTGTGACCCGTCCCCTGGCCACACCGGCCCGGGGCCTTTGCACTTGCTATCTTATGCCAGGAAGGTGTCCCTGTCTTTCACAAGGGACGGCTGCAGGGGTGGCTGCCCAGTGGCCCTTTTGAGCTTCTCCACCCTCCTCACCCTCTAAGAAGGGCCACGAGAGAAGCCACTTGGAAACAATCCTTAGGGACACAGGCATAAAAATGCTGAGAACCCGTCCCGTCTCCTAGCTGGCAAGCAGGTGACACTAAAATTCAGATCAAAGGATCCACTCACTGGAACTCAATTGGCCCTTCCCATGGTCCTGTGGCTATAAACACTTCCCATGTCCTTGGCAGAGTGGGCGGCGAGTGACCTGGCCTGTTTACGTTCTCGGAAACCCCAGAGCAGCCTCCCAGAGCCGTCTCAATCTTCAGAGTTCTGAATTCACCCTGAAGGGCACACGGAACGGGCACATCCAGTGACATTCCTGTCGTGTGCTCCTCATTGGCTCCCTCTGCTTTCATTTCATTTAATTTGCAGATGAAACTATTTTGCAACCAGAAACACTAGAGCATTGGATGCGTGGGATCCTGTCCCCCTCTTTTCTGGGACAGGATGTGAAGGGAAAGCAGCACCTAACCAAATCCACTGGAAGCCTTGGTACCACACTGGCTGGCCCGGGGTCTGGAAACACTCTTGTTTGTGGCTGACATTGAGGGAATGTTTTTTAAAAGCCCCACCCCTGAGGTCTTGACACTGAGTGAAATATGGGTAATTTTTCTTTGGGAGGATCAATAAAATAACTATTTTCAAAATGACTTTATATTGACTGAAGGGTCAGAAATGCCCAGGGCATTGATCCTGTGTCCATAATCACTTTTTGTTTAGTAAGTTAAACCAGCTCTACACAGTTGGATGCAAAGAAATCCCGTTCATCATTTAAACAAAATATTTTCCAAGCGTCTGACGCGCTCGGGCTGCCTGCAGGCGCCTGACGGGGGTGCCTCTCTTTGTCTAGGAGGTGGACCTGTACAGAATCAACAGCCAGGACAAGCTGGGCCTCACCGTGTGCTACCGCACGGATGACGAGGACGACATCGGCATCTACATCAGTGAGGTACGTGCTCCTCAGTCCAAACTCTGGTTTCCAGGCCCTTGAACGAGACCCTCTCATGTTCGCCAGCCCTAGTCTGGTTCCTCCTGGGGCCTCTGCAAAGACACAGACCACCTACTCAGTCTCCCTCGGAGTCGAGGGCCTGCGTCTTTGCAGGGGAGGGGAGTAGGCTCTCCCGTCAGCATCCAAGGCAGAATCGCCCTTCCCAAGCCACAAACCAGCGGTAAAATGGAGTCGTTTACATGGATTCGTGTGTTCAACCCCGAGGGAATGGCAGATTGCCATTTCCTACTCAAGTTCACGCTTTTTAAAAACCGGCCTCCCCCTCTCCCTCTTCATGGGTCTCTATCGCCGAGTTCATCTGTTGGGACGTAATGTAGATGAAGCTATCTAAGTTCATAGATGGCAGCCGTGCAAGTGAGCCCATCTCAACACGGATCCAACCGTGCGCCCCCACCCTAGCCGGCCCAGAAGCCCTGCCTCTCTGCGATGATCCAAGAGAACCATTTTCTGGGTTTTTTGATTATCCAGTTGAATATCCACCCCTCCCCAATTCTGCAATCTGCATCAGTGTTTTAGGGCATCCCTCCCACCCCGAGTCCTGTTTCTGTCAGTTACCTTCCATTTTTAAAGTTACTTCCCCCAAGTTTAATATAAGCATTCAGTGAAAATGATCAAGGTATGGTTGCTGATCAACATAGTGACACGGGTACCGTGAACCTGTTCTCCGTGATTTGATTTTAATTACTGTGTGAGCTCCCCCAGTGAGCTGTGCTGCCTTGTGCCCCTCAGGTCTCAAGAGCTTGTGGACGATGCTCGGTTCAAAGGCGGCCAGGCAGGGATCTAAGACCAACTCTGGAAAGGGCTCAGGCAGATGGGCCCATGCTCCTGTGTGTTAGTGTTGCCCAAAGTCTTGCTCCTATCTGTGCAAGACAGGAGTAACCATCCCGGGGTTAGAGGTGACCCCTGGGTTGGTGCTGAGAAGTCTGCTCTCTTTCAGATCGATCCCAACAGCATCGCGGCCAAAGACGGTCGCATCCGCGAAGGGGACCGCATCATTCAGGTAGGTGTGCTTCTAACAGGTGGCCTCAGTGTGTGCCTGTCACCAAAGAACAAACTCACTTCAAGGCTGAAATGCATGAGAGGAGAAGAACTGGGTCCAGAAACCTGGCCTGGCGAGGGCCCTGGGGGACAAGCCAGCACACCTCATTGCATGCATCTGCCAGGGCCAAGGACCTGGCACCACTGACATGAGGGACACAGTCTGTGCGCGCGCCAGGGGAAATCGCTCTAGTTTTGGATGAAGCACCTAAAATTCCATCTTGTCATTAAAATGGGGGCCTCCCTGGCAAGTCTTAGATTTCCTGGCTCCACGTTTAGCCATCCTGTGGAACCGTGGCCTTGAGTGCTGCTGTTCCTCCAGGCCACTGAGGCCATTCGGGTCTCTTCTGGCCGTAACCTTTTTAATCTCAGGTTGAGACTCTTGACTTCATTTTGTCCCACAGGCTTAGCTTGCTACCTCTTCCCTTCTACTCCACGGTGTCTATTTCTCTCATTATATAATTCTGGTTTCCTTCTTCCCTGGCTGAGCCTCCATCTTCCAGCCAGAACCCCAGCCGCTGGAGGCTCCTCCCCTGGAAAACTGACCTTCACCTTCACTGCCTAAGGCTAGAACACTCAGCAGAGCACCCTTTCTGGTCACTGCAGTTTTCCATTGAGCTTTATGATTAAGCAAAGAGGCCCCCAGCATGCCCCAAGGGCCTCCTGGAATTCCAGACCTGGTCTTCTCTGCCTGCACCATGTCTCAGCAGCCCTTCTGTCCCTGGGCCATTAGGACTGGTCACAGCAACCAGTGGTCTCTCCTTTTGCTGCCTGTTGGTCTCCTGTTGTAAGGTGGCAAAGTCAGCCTAGAAGTGAAACTTCCAACTCAGGGACATGTCCTAGAGGAGCCACACCCCTGCAACTAAGACCTGCAGAGTCTCTGGGACAGGTGAACCAGCCCTGTGCAAGAAGGTTATCAGGTGTGAAGGTGACAGTCACTCCAACTCCAAAGAAGTTAGTGTTAAGCTGGGGCACAAACACCCCATGTCACTCCATCCCCCTCTCTACTTTCCACCTCCCTAAACGTCTCATCAAACTCATTGCCACCTTTTCTCCCTATTATCCAAAAATATCATCTTCCATTTCTGCCTGGACCTGGTGCCCTCTGCAACAGGAGGACTTTCCCAGCCCTCCACAGGAGTCCCAATGTCCACCCACAGGGATCCTTCCTGGACCAGGCCTTCCTTTCCTATAAGCAGCAACTTGAGATACAAGAAAGTTCCATGTTCCAGCTTGAGGGGGGGACAGTGCAGGCCTGAGCAGGATAAAGTAGATTTGCACCAGCTCATCATGCAACTATCCACTGTTTTTGCTTTTTCAGATCAATGGGATAGAGGTACAGAACCGCGAAGAGGCTGTGGCTCTTCTGACCAGTGAAGAAAATAAGAACTTTTCTTTGCTCATTGCAAGACCGGAACTCCAGGTAAGTCGGCTTCCCCACAAGAAACTGGCTTTGCGATACTACATTCCCAGCCCCGCAATGACAAGTATGTGAAAGCATAACTAAACTTGCTGTGACTTGGAGTCCACTGTATCGAGGAACCACTTAGGATGACGCCAGCAGCCCCAGCCCCTACACTGCAGGTGGGAAGGGATGTTAACAAGGCAAACATAGCAAAATGGAAAATGAGGACAGGAGCAAGCAGATGCTCGACTTCCTGAGGGGACAGCTGTCCTGCCTAGAATGCTAGGCACAGCCTCTGTTTACTACAGCAGAGCACAGGGACACAAACGTCGATAAATACTAACCAACCCTCAGTGACCATCTAAGAAACAAGGGACCCCTGTGCAGAGCACCTTACATCCCCTTCGGCCTTCCTGGGAGTTCCCAGAGCCCAGGACACAGGGTGGTGGAGCGCAGAGGGACTCTGCCCTAAGCAATTGGATCAGAAACCGCTGTGCTGCACTCATCCTCCGGGGGCAGGGACCATGAACTTGTGCAGATGCCTCTAGCTCTGAGTCAGGGCAGCAGATCTATTTTGGTCAGAAACCTCAATGGAAAATACTCCAGGGGCAGCAAAATAAAGAGCAGCCGAGTCAGGATGCTGGAGGAAGGCTGGGTAGCCACCTCACCTGGGGTCAGCCCAGCTGTTCTAAATGACCGTAGCTGTGTTCTGATAAACTCCGAAGGCAAGCCCATGCGGTACAGCCTTTGAAAGGCAAAGGCCTGGTGACAGTCACGTCCTGGCCCACAGGTACATCATGGACCTACTTTTAGCAGAAAGAACTTTCTGCATTAACGATGATTCTCTTTGGGGCCTGAAACACATACCAGGGTCAGCAAGGACATGGAGCTAGATCTGCCTGTGGCCTGTTCCCCAATAGAGACTCCCCTCATGGACATAGGGTCACACCCTTCACCATGAGGAGGGGCAAGTCTCTGACCTATAGCACACTGGGAACACTGCATTATGACGACTCCTGGAGGGAGCCCTAGAAGTATTGTCCCCAAGGTAATGTCCACTGTTAGTAAAAAAGGGAAAGCACAAGGAAACTTGTAATCACTGCTGCTTCCCCAGCTGGACGAGGGCTGGATGGACGACGACAGGAACGACTTCCTGGATGACCTGCACATGGACATGCTGGAGGAGCAGCACCACCAGGCCATGCAGTTCACAGCCAGTGTCCTCCAGCAGGTAACCTGGGGGCCGGCCCACACCCCGCAGCGCTGCAGGCACATGTCCTCCCCTCCCTCCCTCCCTGCTGCTCAGGAGCATCCAAAATGCACCCGCCTGGAAGACAGAAAGCACTTAGGCCATTTCCCGTGTCTGTCTGAGCGAGAGAAATGCAAGTCCAACGCTCCCTGGCCGAGCTGTCACGGCTGAGCAGTCACCCTGGGCTTAGCTCCCTTCTGATATCTGTTGGTGCCAGCATTCCCGTAGACTCCGGGAAAGCAAGCAAGCCGTGTATTTGAAACTGAGCAATTCCCTATGTTGAACCTGAGCTGGGGGGGGAGCCTAGTAGCTACCTCCTGTGCCCCTCCCCTAGTCAGGGTCACAGTCCCACTTACTGGTCCCTATGAGCACTTCCTGCAACCTGGGACCCCTGCACTGCTCTACTGGTGAAACTCACTCATTGAAATAACTATTATTATTCCCACTGGAAACAATGATAAGTTGCCCAGATAGACAGGGCTGGCCAGTGCCCCACCCTTGACCCCACCCTACTGTCAGCCTCCTCCGGAAACACTTGTCCTACAAGGGTGTTCTTGTTTTCTCCGTGCAGAAGAAGCACGAGGAAGACGGTGGGACCACGGACACGGCCACCATCCTGTCCAACCAGCACGAGAAGGACAGCGGCGTGGGGCGGACAGACGAGAGCACGCGCAACGACGAGAGCTCAGAGCAGGAGAACAACGGTGACGACGCCATGGCGTCCTCCAACCCGCTGGCGGGCCAGAGGAAGCTCACGTGCAGCCAGGACACGCTGGGCAGCGGCGACCTGCCCTTCAGCAACGAGTCCTTCGTGTCGGCCGACTGCACGGACGTGGACTACCTGGGCATCCCGGTGGACGAGTGCGAGCGCTTCCGCGAGCTGCTGGAGCTCAAGTGCCAGGTGCAGAGCGGTGGCCCCTACGGCCTGTGCGATGCGGCCAAGAGCGAGCCCGAGAGCGTGGACAAGGAGCTGGAGCTGCTCAACGAGGAGCTGCGCAGCATCGAGCTCGAGTGCCTGAGCATCGTGCGCGCGCACCGGCTGCAGCAGCTGCGGGAGCAGGCGCGGGAGCCCTGGCTGCTGGCGCCCGGCGCCTTCCGCAGCTACGCGGCCAGCGTGGACGGGCGCCGGCGCGAGCTGGCCGACATCACCGAGCTGCCCGAGAAGTCCGACAAGGACAGCTCGAGCGCCTACAACACGGGCGAGAGCTGCCGCAGCACCCCGCTTGCCCTGGAGCTGTCCCCCGACAACTCCCTGCGGAGGGCGGCCCAGGGCGGCACCGAGGCCCACCTCCTGGCCATCACCGAAGACCCCGAGGTCGGCGCCCCACTCTATAGCCCTTCGGCCAAAGAGCCTGAGCTCGGGCCGGCCCTAGAGGGCTCGGAGCGCAGGGCCGAGGGCAGCAGGAGCCCGCCGCTGCGCGCCGCCTGCCGGTCCGCAGCCCCGCACTCGCCCTACAAGCACGCGCACATCCCCGCGCACGCGCAGCACTACCAGAGCTACATGCAGCTCATCCAGCAGAAGTCGGCCGTGGAGTATGCGCAGAGCCAGATGAGCCTGGTGAGCATGTGCAAGGACCTCACCTCCGCCACCTCCTCCGAGCCGCGCATGGAGTGGAAGGTGAAGATCCGCAGCGACGGCACGCGCTACATCACCAAGCGGCCCGTCCGCGACCGCCTGCTGCGGGAGCGTGCGCTCAAGATCCGCGAGGAGCGCAGCGGCATGACCACGGACGACGACAACCTGAGCGAGATGAAGATGGGCCGCTACTGGAGCAAGGAGGAGCGCAAGCAGCACCTGGTGAAGGCCAAGGAGCAGCGGCGCAGGCGCGAGTTCATGATGCAGAGCAGGTTGGACTGTCTGAGGGAGCAGCAGGGGGCCGAGGACAGGAAGGAGGTGAGCATCCTGGAACTGAGCCACAAGAAGATGATGAAGAGGAGGAACAAGAAGATCTTCGACAACTGGATGACCATCCAGGAACTCCTGACGCACGGCACCAAGTCCCCCGATGGCACCAGAGTGTACAATTCCTTCCTCTCGGTGACTACTGTATAATACCCGCCTCCGCGCGCTGTTCATAGGAGTGACCACCACCGCGGGGTGGAGATTCCTGCCTCGTTCAATGCGGCACATTGTTGTACATAAGACAGTCATCCTGTTTACGGTCTCAGTCTGCCACACCTGCGACTGGGCTGTCACCGCTGTTTTCAGTGCAGGTAAAATTACACCCTTTACCATCGTTGAAGGCAATACTAACAGCTTTTTTCAAATAGCAATTGTACTTTTTTACTTGTTACCTTTTACATAAAGTGTTTAAATTTCAAAAAGATCTTTTATTACGCATACTTTCACAGAATAATTTGTTGAAACTATATTCATATTAAAAAAAAAAGTTAAACACGCTTTTTTTTCCTGCCTAAAATACAAATACAACTGCCGGTATGTATTTTTAATGGAATCCTATTTTATAACCTTACTTTGCTGAATGTGTTTCATACGGATGACCATTAATATATATGTAGGTCAAGGTTTCAACTCAAAACCACCAACTTCTGTGGTTAAGGATTTAATAACAATAATCAAACCAGCACTACTTAGACTTGGAATGATACATTGACACAGTTTTCTGGTGAAGGTTCCTAAGAGAGTGTAAAGGTATTAGCAGAAAGCAAAATATCCTGCAGCTTTATGGAAGTTTAAAGCATGTTTGCAAATATTGCAGCCTATTGGAAGATATGCATGTACAGGAAAGTTGTCGATTGAGATGGTTTGTGAAATTTTAAGTGTTCATTGTAGTCAGCCTTTGCTTTGTAGATCAGAAGGTACAGACTTATACAAGCAAGTTCATGAAATCACCATTAGTTACAAACACTAAGTAAAATGAAGTTAAAATAAATTATTATTTTCTATTTGATATGTTTTGATGTGATTCCTCATTTTGCAGTGGTGCCTACAAAATAAAAGCCTTTTGCAGTGTCTATTTTTTTCCCTTGGTTGTACAACCTGCTACCTTGGAAGAATTCAACTCTTTCAGCCTAGAAGCCAATGACATAAGTAAATCAGGAAATAACAGCACTGAATAAGGCCACAAATACACCATCCATAGAGTCCTGCATTGTGACAGCTTGACTGACAGCAAGCTTCACCCTGGCCCAATGTCCTATCAATATGAATGGTTGTGAACAAGTTTAGCAGTTGGGGCCATGTTAACTGATATTTCTTTGGTTTACACCAATCATTACTGCCTGTGAGTTTGTCCAACTTTCCATTTCTATGGTAAATCTGCAAATTGGGCAGTATTTTCATACATTAAAAAGGGTCACCAAAGTGGGTGGGCTTCAAAAGTGACCTCTTTCAGACCACAATCACCGCCAAGAGCCTATGTAATAAATCTGCTACCAATTGTTCCCTTTACACTAATTGCCACTATAATACCTACTGAAAAATAAAGATTAGCAAGAGTATGCATGATACCAGATATCTGCTTTACTCACATTAAAATTTGGATTGAAACAGCAAGGCATTTTAGATATCTCAGACATCAATTTCTTTCCAAAGACCCATTAAAACCCCCATCCTTCCTTTGGGGCTGGAATCTTAAAACCCATTGGTAGTTACACTTGTAATAAAATAACTTCATGAAAATGAGATACTGAAATATTTATCACCACTAAAATTACTAAGGTAATGACATGATTTCTTTTAACCTAGAGGTGCTTAATCACTGAGCCACATCCCCAGCCCTTTATATTTTAACACAGGGCCTTGATAAGTTTCTGAGGCTGGCTTTGAACTAGTGATCCTCCTGCCTCAGCCTCCCAAGCTGCTGGGATGTCAGGTGTACACTACCATACCCGGTGGTAATTACATAATTTACATACTAATCCCGCTACACAATTCTAATGAGCATCTGTTTGGCGGGAGGGGCGAATAGCTTCCCTCTCCTGGGTGTTGTCACTAAAGCCCACCAGAGCAAAATATCCAAGAGTCATGGGGTATGAGAATCAAGCAGAAGGGTTTCTGATCAGGGCTTCCCACGTACCTCTGGAATTAGGGACCAGCCCATGCGCTTAGGGAAAAGTACAGGGAAATAATGAAGCCAGAGGCATTCAAATCCCAATCTAGATACTTGGGTTCCAACTTCTGTCTCAAATCACTCAATCAGCTAGATACACCAGCTCACAACTTGAAATGCAAACTGAGGTCTCAATTTAATTCAGATCCAGTCCTTAAAAAGTTGAGACACCCCTTAGAAATCATCACTCTGCCAACGAGAACTGGAGGAGGCAAGGAAACTCAGTGAGGCTCATTAATAACCAAACTGGGACTGGAATTCAGCCCCCAGCCCCATGTCTCTGATAGCCCCACACCCAGGAGCATCCTCTGTGCAATTTCAATACATTCCATCCCATACCCTCAATCACAAATGGCTGCCCCAGGGTGAGCACGAGCCCGCAAACATGAACCTGCCACTTCTTCAATCAACCTGAGCTCCCCAATGCCTCCCTGTGCAAGCCTCACTGAGCTGGTGGCGAGTCAAGGGATTTTCCTGGGTAATAGCGAGGAGACAATTCACCCTTCCATGGTCACTGATGTGCAACCCTCCATCCTGTGTAAACAGCGACCACTGTGAGCAACAGGTCTTTCTACCAGCCCTGCTGCCTGTACCATAGTTCCTGGGCTCATTAAGAATTGGATAGAAGCTATGGATTCCCTCTGCAGGAGAAAAAAAATTGTACTTAAAGCAAATAATACATCATTGATGGCATTTAATATCAGACACTTGACATAACCCTGGAACCTACTCATGGACTCTGATGGGTATGAGGACCCCAAGTTTTGGCCAACTAAATTTAATAGCACTATGGATTTATTTTTCAAGCTTCATTTGCTTGTATTTTGCAGAATTAGTTGATGTGAATGCCTGCTTTTAGTATCAAGGAATACATTTTTTTTTTCCTTATCAGAACCATATTGCTTAAGGCTATGAAAACATGATTGACCACTAGGACATCGTCAGTTGTGCTAAGGTTTTTCTCACAGCTAAATACATTTAGGAACTGTGAGAGCAGATTCCCGATTCTCCATAGCAGCTACCCCCATCTGCCTCAAGACTCAAACTTTTTCTAGAAGACAAAGAGAAGGAAACGAGGACTTATCAACCCTGTAGAGCTACAATGTCCTATTCAGAAGCCACAAGCCACATTTTAAAATGTGGTGGACCCAATGCCAGCACTCCTGGGTCCAATCCCTGTTCTTTGAGGCAGGTGACTTTATCAACAATTAGACTCCAGGGAAGACCTCTGCCTGGTGAGTAGAGAGATGTTATTTGAATGTGCATCACCGGACGCAAGACCCTTTCCCCGTCACCACTGTCACCCCATCTGCCTCTCAAGAAGCAATCCAAAGTAGGCTCGGGTTGTGTTAATATCTGTGACACATTTACAATTATAATAAAATAAATTGCATCCAAGTGACAGACATTTCCCTCAGTTCCTTTTAAGTACTAAATTACAGACTCTCCTCTCTTGCCAAGAATACAGGACAATGCATTAAAAAATGTAGAAGCATGAGGCACAAATTAAGCTTGTCATCTCTCGTGTGGCAACAGGAGATCCCGAAAAATCAAGACTCACAAACACCAAGTGCGGGATTGCCCATCGCCTTGGGAATCCTCGTGGAGGACGAATTAGGAGACTCCACAGCTCCGCGAAGAGGAACCCAATAACTAACCACACGCAGCCCTGGGCGGTAGGTTGCAGGTGACTAGTCACAACTCTGCCCCAAACTGAGGGGAGAGAATTCGCCATAGCAAGTGGCAACCACTCCCACCTTCATTTCTGTGTCCCCATTGTCTTAGCATCTCTTGGATTTCCATGTGCACCTGCTAATTTAAAAGAAATCACCAAAACCAGAGAAGTTGCAAGAATTCTCTTGGCAAATGCTGTGGTCTTTGATTTGGATGAAGCCAGCGGTTACGGAAGCCAGCGTAGCTCTTCGGGTTTTGTTCAGATGGGTTTTTTTTTGTTTGTTTGTTTGTTTGTTTTTTTAATCATTTTTTTCTTTAGCTTCCAGTTGCACCTAATCCTGGAAGGTCGGGGGCAGCAGGGGCACACAATGGGTTTTCCTTTATCAGTGGCAGGAGCCTGACCCCATCACAGCAGGATGTGTTCTCCAGTGAAAACCTGGAGGACTAACGGCCCTTCCTTCCCAGGGGCGACTGCGAGTTTCCACTTGCTCACCACGTTAGTGAGTCTTGCTGAGATCCTCCAAAGCCAAATAAAAGTGCCTGGTCCTCATCACAGTCCCCCCAAATATGCAATGTTTAAACTGAATTGTGCGTTTAGTTCTCCTCTCTAGATGCCACCCCAGGTGGGATGGCCTTGATTAGCAGCCTCAGCTCTGAGGAATGGTGACCGCCCCCCATGGCTACCAGGAGCGTGGCAGAGGCCAGCCCAGGTGGTGGTGTCTGTGTGCACACTTGGTTTGGGGGCAATGACAAGTTCTCCCAGAGCTTACAGTCCACTGGGAAGGAAAATAGTGCTCTGACCATCACCCGAATACTTCTAAAATGTTCCAGTGGGGGAGAGAAGCAAATGCCACAGATTTCAGAGAAAGTCTCCTGACAAATCCAAAGTGCCACCGAGATGAATGTCAACTAGCTAGGGAAAGACAGTGCAGGCGGAGAAGCAGGACATGTAAAGGCCCTGAGGTGGGAAAGGCGTGGCTTCTTTGAAACAAATTTAAAAGAATACAGTGTGGTTTGAGCTCAGAAGGCAGCAGCAGAAAGAATACAATGGGGTATGAAAAATGTGAGGGCAAGAGTGTGGAAGGAGCCACGTTTCCTACTTGACCACAAATACCTATTCAACATAGCCAACATTTACTGAGCACCTGATGTGTTCAGGAAGCTATGCTTAATGCCTAACCAGTGCTGAATTTCCTGACCACAAAGAATCCAAGACAAGTGGGATTGGGATCCTTACCCTGCAGATAAGGAAGCTGGCACAGGCTGCGGGAAAGTGACACCATCTCCTGACTGCTTCCCTGCCACTGTCCCAGGAAGCACCCCTGAGACAGGAGGCTCACGGACTGCCACCTGGGGAAAGCTGTATTTCTCTATTATCAGGGTACCCAGGGGGACACTCATGCTCTGCCATATCCCAGCTTGGGGCTAAATCCTCTTCCGACTCCGCAACTTCCCGTGTCTCAGCCGCAGTGGGTGAGAAACTTGGCGGGCAGAGTGGACTCTATGAAGGCCAGCCAGGGGGCCTGGGAAGGAGCACGCTTCCCCGCCATGTCCGCCACACATCACCCACCCTCAAAGGCAGGCCAGGAGCTCAGGGGCTCTTCCCTCCTCGCCAGCTGCCAGCGTCCACCGCCCCAGGGGGGTGCCTGGGCTGCCCTGTCGCATACACAATGAAGAGGGCGGAGGACGTGGTTCAGGGCCACGCAGCCACTCTGATGACCTGCCCCCAGGACGCTTCTTGTAGATGGCACTTTGCTGTTCCAGGGCTGCGGGTGACTCCACGCTGGAGAGGCCACTGTGCGACCCCGGCTGCCACCCATCAGACCTTCCTGCCCTGAGCCATCTCCAAAGCCCCCTGAGCAGAGGCCACAGGCTGCGCAGGCACTGAAGGGCCACCCCGCAGGCACTCAAGGGCCACCCCCAGCACTGGTCTCTCACACAGTAAACCAGGAGCATCACGGGGCAAGGCCGACGCCTAATCAGTTACAATTCAAGCTTCTCCATTTTCTGAGAAGTGGGGGTTGAAGACACGGAGGTGGGCTTTGCAGATACCTCCCGGCTCCCCAGACACAGGAGCAGAGCCCTGGGACCAAGGGCACTGGGTTCTGATGGGAGCCCCTTCCCTGTGGCTGTGGCTTTGGAAGTTGCCAGTTTCAACTGGGACT